CTCAAATGAATTAATACAAGAAATTATGGAGTTAATTACAAAGAATTAATTATGAAACAAATATACAGAACATCTGCATAACAGCACTTACAGTGTGATTTATATAGTGTCATTTCTAATTACCCAGACACTGACGCTTTTACTCAGAGTACCGGCAACATGTCAGAAGTGGCGGTACGCACAAAAAAGTGCAGGTACTCTAAAGACTAAAATATAGAAGTGCTGGTACTGCGTACCGGCCCACTTCAAGCACTGCATATAGCCTAAGTCGTACATCGAATTGAAATGGGCAGGCACTGCTTATTATCACTTCAATAGAGCGGTGAAAGTGTCGAGCTGCAGTCGTTGTCAGCGCTGTGGCGGCGGGAGACACCGGTCTGGTGTTCTCTTGCGCTGCGCGGTTTAATCGGGTAACTTAGTGCCGTTTCATCACTTGGCATTTAGTGTTTGTTTCCCATGCGCTACAGTAAAGCCGAGGCGATTAAAAGATACCCGCAACTCTACTGTAAACGAGTACAAAGAGATTTTTATCGATCATATCTTTTGGACTGAAATAGCGCAGACACTAATACGTATGTGGGGGCGTGGTGGGATTTCGGCAATCGGCACACCAGGAAAAGTCCTCCCAATGGCCAATCAACGTCGAGCCCCCTCAATCTGTGGGCCCCACCTAGCCTTTATGTTAATCCGGCCCTGCGCATAAGCATTAAAATTCAATGCATTAATTAAAAATGAAGTTACATTTTAAACTCGTTTATAGAATCAACACCATCTAGCGGCAAATAATTTAAAAAATGTTTTGACACCTTTGCTGCAGAGTAGTTGAGAAACAGAGTTGCGACATGCTTTGATCTCACCGCCACGCGGTTACGTGGTTCATGAAGCTCTCATTAGTTCCAATAACTCTGCGCTGTCAATATGTTAGAATGGGTTTAAGTAGGAATGAGCATTTTGATTGGACGAACATTTCTTGGTCCTTCAAAGATGGAAAGCTATAACTGGATAGCAGAAAAAGAGGCACGGAGAATGGGAATAAATGAAATTGATGTAAGCCCAGAAGTAGTATTAACTACAGTCCCTTCATGGTTGTATATGTTACCATTAGTTGACCTTCAGTTGAAAAACATAATTCTGGAAAAACAAAGATATATATATATCAAAGGAGTTGGCATTGAGACAATATATGGACATGGAATATAATCATTGTTTACAAATATATACAGATGGCTCAAAAGATCCAGCATCGAGTCGAACAGCTTCAGCTGTTGTCGTTTCACAGTTAAATTATGCAATAAGTAAAAGGATCACCGACAATTTATCGGTTTATACAGCAGAGATGAGTGTAATTATGTTAGCAGTTCAGTGGGTGGAGAACTTGAATCATAAAAATGTGGTAATATGCGCAGACTCATTTTCTGTGTTAACAAGTATGGCAAATCCACATCAAGACAAGATATATTAGAAATCCTTCACTCAAGATATAGATTACAAAATCAAGGAACAAAAATTTATTTTGTATGGGTACCAGCACATGTTGGGGTGGAATTTTAGGTAAGAAGGCTTAAAAAATACAGAAATA